TGAATTTATAAATACACAAAAAAAATGATAATGTTCGATACCATTCACTTTGCTATTGTAGATTTGTTTTTCTGGTTTGTCACAAATGATTTTGCCATTTTGTGACATAATTCAAAAACAAATATTACACATAAACATGTTCAACAAAAAAAACGGGAAACAACGACAACCATCAACTGGATCATCATCATCATCAGGCTAATCTAATGGAGAAAAAAATGAAAATATATTATGAAAAGATTTGCTTCCTTGACAGATTAATATATCCTAAAGACTAAACGAGAAAAAAAAGATTATAAGTTGAAGCAGTTATGATTTATTTTGAGATTTTGTTTCTCTCTTCTTTTGTGTATTGATTGATGCTTATTTGAACATTTTTTTCGGTTTGTTTCAATTGATGTTGATGTCGTTGTTGTCAAATTTTTCACATCATCATATTGTGAATGTATGGGGTTAAAATATGTTCGGATGTTTCGTATATCTTTTTAGGTTTGTCATTTATTTCACCAAAATAATGATGATAATGATGCGGATCTTAATGTATCGATTGTTTTCGTTTGGGGTGCAATAATACAAACAATGATATAATGTTTTTTTTTGCTGAACAAATACAAAGTTTAAAGTTCAAAATGGCAAAAGTTCATTTAAAAAGAATGGTTACATAAGAAAATATTACAGTTTTTACGATTTTAAAGTTTTTTTTTATTTATTTAGCTATTCTTTTTTTTCTGCTGACCTAATCATCATTCATTCATTCACTGTTATTATTATCATCATCATTATTTTCACCAAAAAAAAAAATCTGGTTTTTTTTCAACAAATTTAAATAATTTCAGATTCTAGGTACATTCTCATTAGATGTCCAGCACATTATGTGTGCTGTTTGTTTGTTTGTTTCTTTTTCTTTTTTTTTTGTTGTTGTTTGTTTGAGAGTAATGTGCCATTTAAGACTAATGATGATGATGATGATGAGTGAAGGAAAAAAAACAGAGTGAAAAAGAAATTCACATCATTTAGAAAATAAAATAAGAATGATAATGATGCAGTATTCCAAAATCGAATATTGTCCATACATTGATTGAACAAGGATATATATCCAAAAACTATTATATAATAATAATGATAATATAAACAAATAAATAAAAGATCATGAACTTCAAATGAAAGAAATGTTATGGGAAAAACGTTCACGTTTCAATCGTTTTAAAATATATTCATTCTTTTATTTGGAATTGTTATTGAAAGAACAGAAGTTATGGTCGAAGAAAAAAATAAAAAAAATAAATTAAGGTCACATCATTATAATGGTGGCGGTGATGGTTTTGGTGGTTGTAATAATTTGGAGAAAAGTTTCAAATTTTTTTTTCTTCTTCGTTGAAATGGAAGTGGTGAAAGAAGGCTGATGCAAACACAAAAATTGCCCGAAAGAAATGATCATTTTTTTTTCCTGTTGAATAATTTTTTTCCTTCAAAGAAAACATTAATAACAATCACTTTTTTATTTTGATGAAAAGAATGGTGAAAAAAAACTCTTTTTTTCTTGTTCCAATTTTGTCAAAAAAAAAATGATAATGATTTGAATTTTTTTTTCGGTCAACATCGATTTGAAAACAAAAATTGAACGTTTTGACAATTCGAATCATTTCGGAAACAGGTCCCAAACACAGCCATTGTTTGTTTTTATTGACTCAAATGTTTCAAGAATCCAATTTCCCTCTTTTATGCTTGCTCACTTTAACCTCGAAAATTAATGCCAAACGATGATGGCCCATGGATAAAACATTATTTTCTTTTGTTTTTGCAAAAAACTAATAACAGATGGAAAATTCAATCCATTTTTTTTATTGATGAAATCGGAAATCAATTTTCGTTCATAATTATATAAGAGTATGATCATTCATAATCAATCAACCAATCCATCGATCATCATTGTATACACACAAAACAAACAGATGAATGAATTCAAAAAAAAAATGGCCACAAACATTGATTGAAGAGGGGAAAAAAGACGTATCATAACAATAATCAGGTCGATAGTTTGTAAAAATTCTAATAAGAGGAAAATCAATGATTTTGTTTTTTTGTTTTATTTCGGTAAGTTGCCAAAATAGGTTTATAACATTTCACTTTTTTTTCCTTTTTCTATGAACATTACTATTTCGACCCACATAAATTACCCCTATTATTATCGAAAAATTAAAACAATGTTTGACAATTTCAACCCCACCGGATCCATTCCGTGATGATGATGATGATGATGACAATAAAACAACGACAATCAAATCAACCGAATCAATCATCAACAACAACAAATAGAAAGATTGGAGCAAAAAAAAAAAAAAGAAATCACAAGGAAAAAAATAGTGCCTGATGGTAGATAATTATCATTAATTATCATCATCATCATCATCAACATGAATTGCTTGAAACCTAAATTTTCTTTTTCTTTTCATTTTCATTCAATTGTCTTTTTTTTGCAACGATATCAACATGGCGATAATGATAATCTGATGATGATGATGATGTTGGAATAATGATTTCGTTTGAAAAAAGAAACAAGAATAAATACCTGAAGAGAAACGTCAAATAAATTTTAAAAAAACAAAACAAAAAGAGATACGTGTGTGCAACATAATAAAAGTTTCAAATATAATTACTAAATTGCATCTACCTGTCGACTATGACTAAACGCATTCATTTTTAGTTCATTACTATAGTATCATAACAATGTAAGAAAGAAGATGTTGTAGATTATGGATTTGTCCCGAATATCTTTTACGGTCTGTCCACGTTTTTTTTCTGTTATTTATTTGTCATTTTACATCTGCAAAGTTTTTTTTTGTAAAATAATTATTTTAATAATTATTTACATTGGTCGATGTTGAATAATTTCTTCACTTTTTCAACTGTGTGTGTGGGTGTTTGTTTCGAAGATTTTTTTTTAGAAGTGGGGGACACACAAAAAAAAATCTAAAAATATCTTTTTGACTTTGTCGAAAAATAACAACAGCAACAACAACCACTGTACGATATATATCATTTTGACTAATTGAAAACCAAAAAGAGAAACAAATGAAATGAAATTAGTTGAAACAAAATGGGAAAAAAATTGCAATTTTTTTTAATTTAAATTTAATTGAAGAAGAAGAAAAAAACAGAATTCAATCAGTTCATCATTCAATTCAACTGCATTCGGTTTTTTTGTGTGTGATTGTGTCAGGCAACTAAGATAAAAATACAAAAAAAAACAGTAAGCAACTTGCAGGCAAAAATCCAATTGTTTATTTTTTACCACCCGAATTAACAATTGAGAAAATGTAATGAGATTTTTTGTTTTATTTTCGCTATTTCGTTAAAAAAACAAGCCTCAAATTCAAAATTAAATAATAACAGTCTTACAAACAATGAAATAATTATAATGATCATCATCATCAACCGAAATGACAATCAAAATCAAATAATGATGATGATTTTTGTTTTTGTTTTGTTTTGGAAAATGTTTGTAAAACCGTAACGAATAATAATTTTTGTCGCTGTTTTTTTTATTTATTTCCAATCAAAGTTAATGAGAGACAATAACAACAAAAATGAGCTTACCTTACTGATATTTGTATGGAAAATGGATCTATTAGTTTGGAAATTTTGTTGGTTTTTCTTTGTTTGACCAGAAAAAATCGAGAAATCCGAAAATTTTTTTCAAAAAAAGTAAAAGTTTTTCAATTTTCTTTGTCAGCATTTAAAGAATTTTATCGGAAAAAAATATTCAAATCATTTTTTTAAAATGGTATCCCATGATGATATTAAGTTTTTGAATCGATCGATTATGTTGATAACCCTCTTACAAAATTTATGTAATTTTGTTTGTTTGTTTTTGGTATTCAAAGTTTTCTTTTCTTATCTTTTTCTGTACATTTTATCATCCACCATTTTTTGGATTGTTTACAAAACCGATGAGGATTGCAAATCTGTGAATTTTATTATTTTATTTTGGAAAGAAACAAAAAAACGATAAGATAAAATCTATTTTGACAAATTCATTCGTTCGCGTTTGGTATTGGATAATGAAAATATTTATGGATTTATCACATTACTATCATGTTTTTGTTTTTGTTTTATGCTTATCCAAAAAAATCAAAGTTCTTTTATTTTCTTATCCTTAGTTAATTCTTCTGAATGAAACGAAACATCGTCAACAAAAGTAAGCGATAAAGTAAATGAGAGAAAGAAATGGATGCAAAAAAAGAGAAAGTAAACGCCTTTCTTCAACTATTTCTTTATCATATTTTTTCTATTAGTTTGAAAATTTTGTTGTTTCGGGAAAATAATCGTCATCATCATCGATATTATGATTATATTCAACAATATAATCATTATGCGAGAATCTTAAAAGTGAAATTTTTCATTTCATTACGATTTAATACAGATTGATTCATCGTAATCGCCAGTTGAATTTTATTGAAATAAAATAAAAAACTTGAAAGGTATGTATGTTGAATGAAAAATTTTGTGTTCATTTTTCAAATTTTAAAATCTATCTCGGTATTTCATCCAAAAACAATAATTATGATTTTCTTTTCACCCAAAAAATTAATTGAGTGTTAATGAAGCAAAATATAAATTATTATTTTCAATTTCATTCTGGAATGTATGAATGAGTAATGAAAGAGTTAAATGAGAGAGTGAGATAAAGAGAAAGCGTTTTTTTTGTATCGTTGAATGATGATGATGATGATCAATAATAAATCAAACAAACGATAATGATGATGATTGAAGATATGAGATGAGAGATGCGATCAAATAACGCATAAAAAACGAAGCGATAGAGATCTAAATCAAAATTTCTGCATCATCGAGGGAAAATAGAGAGAAAGAAAAAACCCAGGTTTGTTTTTCTGTTGTTCAATACAAAAAAAAACAAAATTATCTGGCCACCAGAAAATCAAAGATAATGTTATTTCCATTTCGTATAAAAGTGTGTGTGTGTGTGTGAGAGTGCTGAACAGAGAAAAAGAGAAAGATAGAAAGATGGTTAGATGAAGAACGAAAGAGAAACGATAAAGAGATTTTTTTTTCGATGAAAATATTTTTTTAAAATTAGAAAATATTTTTTCAGTTGTTTTTTTTCCTGGTAGCTTTCAAGAAACATCGACAACGTCAACGACCAATATTTTCGCAGCCGACGATCATTTTGTTGAAATTTATTTAATTTATAAAATTTTTCAATTTTTGTTTCCAACAAAATTTTCTTTCGTCTACATTTCTGTGTAAGTGTTTTGGTTTTTCCTGTGTGTCTTTTTGTGTGTTTTCTGGTGAATTGATTTATCTTTGTCAAACAAGAAAAAATCATCTACACTGTCCTCATTTCCGTCATTTCATTCATTGTTTTTTATTTATTTATTCAATTTTCTTTTTCTATTACGTTTTTTTTCTCGGATTAGAAATCGATAATAATTTTTTTTTCTAAACTGATTCAATTGAATTTAAGAAATATGGCCATCAATATTAATGATTATATGCCATCATTGGAATCAATATTTAAAATACTTAAATGGATTTTACTTGTATCGAATGGTTTGGTAATAATTGGTTCAATATTTGTATTGATTAGTGGCCGTGATCTTGGTGAACCAGAATTTCGTAACAATCATCGTGTATTAATATTTGCCTGTTTTATGATTATATTATTCTGTTTACTTGGTATTGTTGGTGTTTGGCGTAAACATTTTCCATCCGTATTAACATATGCTATTTTAATGACAATTGCATTATTATTGGAAATAGCTGAATTATCTAAAGAGGATGTTGGATCATTTTTTGCATCATCAGCAATTGTATTATGTGCATATGTTTATGCCTTCCTTATTCGTCATTATGAAAAACAGGAAGAAATGAAACGAGTTTTCTCTCATCAAACGGCCAAAATCTAGATGAAACAACAACAACAACAACAACAACGGAACAAAACGGACCGAAACGAAACTTTAAAAGGAAATGAAACAAAATATATTTATATAGAAAAAAATGAACGATAATTTTATGGTATACCAGTAAAATGTCCAAAACAAAAACAAAATTACATGATAATCAACAACAACAACAATCGAAATCGGTTTGGTTTTAATTTTCAAATTTTTTTTTTCTTCAATCTTTTTTTCATTGAAATTATATTTTAAATTGATTTTATTTAGTTGTTTTCACAGCTCAAAAAACAAAAAAAAAACAAAACATTAATTTGATTCTTCGATTAAATTGATTCGATAATTAAAAATATGGTAAAATATTGTCAAATTATTTGCATAGATTAACTTCGAAAACACACACACACACACATAACATTAACATTAAGATTCTATTTGAATCTAAAATCTGATTATCATTCATTCATTCATCATCATTATCATCATCATACAATCATTATCCATCATTTCGAAATGTTTTGTAAATGTAAATAAATAAATAAAAAAGTTTTTATAAAAAATAATTTTCTCTAGTTATTCAAAAAGAAGAAGAAAAAAACTTTTCAAGAATTTAAAATTCACCTTCGTTTTTTTTCTTCGAACCAAAATGATAGTGAAAAGAGAGTGAGAAAAAAAAATGTCAAAGGTCGAGGTTGTTTTCATATGATTTGACCTAAATTTCATCAACACAGGTGAGGGTACATGCACACACAAACCGAACAACAGGTTTGTCCAGTTGTTTGAGTTTTTTTTTCATATATCATTATATAATGATTGAAATGTTTCTAGGTCGATCTTTTTTTTTCGTTAATAACATCCTTAATAATGTTGTCGATTTTGATTTTTTTTTAAATCGCTATAGGCGATTTGTTGATGATATGACCATTCAATAAATACTGCTACTACGAAAGTGAAAGTGAAAGTTCATCGAAAGTTCTACACGATAATGAGATGTGAGAACGAAAAAATAAAACGTGAAACAAATGATTGTTATTTCAGAATGTTTTTCTATGATTATCTTAAAAACTATTGTGGCCATTATTAACGATAAGAATTGTGTCAAATTGTCATTTCGTTCATGATGATAATAATGATGATTTTTTTCCCGAAAAAAAGAGAAGAAAGAAGATAAAATGGAAGATTTTTTTTCAACGGATTGTATCGATTGTCTTGATAGATTCGATTCAACAATTTGAATTTGTCTGAAATATACAGTGGAGGCCAATATGATAATTCAATTAACGCCTTTTTTTTGTTTTGTTTTGTTTATTGGTCAATTTAAGTGTGTCCAATTCATGCACGAAATAACTTATCTATTTCTATTTGAAAATTTCAATAGAACATAAAAGAAAAAATTGGAACGAGACAATGATGATGATAATAGAAAGGATAAAATGAAAAACATAAGAAAATGAGAGACGAAAATTTCTATGGAAGAAAGAAGGCTTTCAAAAAAAAATACGTATTCATTATTGATTGTAACGAATTCTTTTTTTCTTTTTTTTATAAAGTGATTAATTTAAAACACGTTCATTAATGATTAAGAAATTCTGTACGTGTTGCATTTGACATTCAAACATTATTACAACCTGTTGTTATTCAATGAATAATAATTTTTGAAATTTTTCAATTCGAAAAAAAATTTGTCAACAATGCCATCTAGTGTTAAATAAATTTGTTTTTTTTAATAAACAATCAACAGGTGTTTGTATTATTATTTTTTAAATTAAAATTATATTATCCAATTACAAAATAATATCTGGTCATCATGATGGTGAAAATCAAAGTTAATATTATGATCCATTGATTGGCAATAATTTGATCGGTTATATGATTCATTTCGAAACATTCTGCATTCCATTCCTGTTCATTCAAAATACGTAATGGTCGAGTAATTTTGTCAAATTCTTCAAATGAACATAATTTTTCATTTTTGAATTCATCATGACATGAATTCATTGTCAATATTCGATCGGAAACATAGAATTTCGATAATTCTTTGGGTGGTATGAATTTGTTGAAAATTTGTCGATATATTATACGTATAAAATGTTTTGTATCTTTGGTCATAGATGATAAAGTTTGATAATGTTCAAAAACAATAGCTGAACTATATGATGGTGGTTTACGATCAATTTGATCATATAGTTCAAGTGCTTGAAGCAAAATTACCTGATTCACATCATGTGCTGAATATAGAAAAAAACGTTGATCATTCTTATCTAAATCATTATTATCGTTTGTTGCCATTGTACGTATATGTTCGGTTATATTGTTCAATAATAATCCGATGCGAAGTTTTTGTATTTCTATCGGTTGCCAATCAAACCAGAATGCATGACGTTTCATATCGTCCAATTGTTTAATGATTGTTTGATTTAGAGCCCATTCTGGTACGGATAAATGATATTCATCACGCTCAATTTCCAAAGTTGTTGTCAAAAACTCCATATTTCGCAATGTATTCGATTCATTCAGCCAATAATTTTGTCCGGTTTTTTCGGACAAATAATCAATGTAATTTCGTTTGGAATCAAGATATTCTTTAACTTTTTTCGAATTCATTTGCTGTAACCATACATGATCATGCAACGGACATTTTACACCAGTCGATAACATTTTACCATCTTGATGAACTTCAACACTAAACTTTGTATTATTAAGAAAACTTTCCATAAATAAATTTGCCGTTTCTTGTGCACGATGTGCCGGTGATGATAAACATTGTTTTGGCCAACCATTTGTATCTTGAAGAAATTTATCATAAATTTTACGATAATATTCACCAGCAAAACGAATACGTAATCGTCCATGATCATTCAATTCACCCAAACCTTCAGGCCAATATTTTTCCACATCTTGAAATGGATCATTTGGATAAAAATGCGTGGGCGTACGATCACCATGACGCATCAATACATGAACCGAATGTAATTGTAATTGTTCTTGTTCAATTTGTGTTCGAATTGGAACAACAATAAAAGACAATATTAATAAGAACGATGAAAGAATGGGCCATTGATGAATAGAATAATCCATATAGAGATCATAAATAGTCTTTGAAATCATTGAAAAAACGCATGTGATCGCAATGATATTTTATGAAGATGGCCAGTAATAAATATTAAAAAAAAAGTTTTTTTCTTATTGTCACTAATTGTGTTGCTAATGATAATAAAATCCAACAAGGGCTACATTGCTGACATCTTTGAGCTAAATAATCACATACGTAATTCGAATACGCAATTCGAATAGACAAAACATAAAAAATTGGGAATTTTTATTGTTATCAATTTTTTTTATTATATCAAAAAATTCATTGATCAAATCATATCATTTGTGTGAATAATTTTCCAATATCTATGTCAATCGACATTTTCTGATTATTTATTTTCATTGATTTATTCATCATCATGATATTCATAAAATTGTTTTAAAAATTGACATTCTCTTTGTTTCAAATCTATTCCATAACTTTCATGTGTACGATATTCATTTGATAATTCATAATATGGTCGGACAGTTATTTTTGATCCATCAATATCATCGACATCGAAAAAGCTTTGCCATTCCGGCTGTTCATTTTGATTTGGTTGTCTAGAAAAATATTTAGTGTTTTTTTTCAAAATTTATAAAAAAAATTCCTTACCCATTTCGTAAGAATGAATGTAGAAATGAAATCAATTCCATAGAAATATCACGTATACGTTGATTATATTTGGATGGATGACGGATAGGATCACCAAGCATTGTAAATTCATCATCACCATGACAGGTACCACTCCATTTTGGACACCATTCATTTGTTTTCATTTGCTTATATGTATGATAAATTTGATAAACATTGACATTACCATTACGATGAAGGATATGACCGAAATCAATTGTAGGACATGTCAACCACATATCACCTAATACAACACTAACTGTTTCTCGCAATAAATCTGGATGATCTGTTTTTGGATTCAAACCATTGAAATAAATTTTTGATAATTGATCAATGGGAACATTATTTTTTTTCGATGTCAATGGTTTTATCACTGTGGCTAATATTTCTTTAGCCTCATCTAATGAATCCAATGGTTCAGGATTTATAAAAGCAAATTTTTGACCATCTTCTGCTCGATTTAACAATGTCAAAAACAATAGTGAAAATGGAGAGCCTTCATCTTTGTCGGTTGAAATCAAAAGGTTAAAATTTTTTTTATGATTACCATCACGTAACATATTATTGGGATGATCAGGGAAAAATTCTCCATCAACAAATGCATAATCTAAATCAAGTATAATAGCAATAGATTCAGTTTTTTTAAAAATCATAACAACAACTACTTACCAGTGAATATAAAACTATCCATGTCAATCACTTTTACTAATTCATTTTCATTCATTTGATTTAGACAATCAATCATTTTCTGGCTGATTGAATGATCGGAATCGGTTGCGCAGCCAGCTGCACGAATACGATTTAGCCATGCATCACGAAAATCTTCACGTGATATTACCAGATTCTGTATCGAACCGGAAAGCATAATAGCATTTTTATATAAATTTCTTGTAATTGGTGAAAGAATGTGTGCACTAATTGACCATGCACCAGCACTACAGCCAGCGATTGTAACTTGTTTAGGATCACCACCAAAATAACGGATATTTTGCTGCACCCATTCCAATGCTAATGCTTGATCCCAAAATGCCATATTACCTTTAATATGTTCAACTTCATCCGAATATAATAGACCAAAAATTGATAATCGATAATTAAAACTAACAACAACAACATTGGCCATTGTTGTTACTGTACGACCTTCTAGATGTTTGTATCCAGAACTACCTATTATAAGGCCACCACCATGTATATAAACAAGAACAGGTCGTAATTCATTTTCATTATTAACATCTACTTTTGGTGACCAAACATTAAGATAAAGACAATCTTCATTTTGATTGAAATTATGATAACTGGAATTTTTTTCCCAAGGATTATTTTGCAAGCACATTGGTGGCCATTCTAATGCTTCGTATGGTTGTTGGTTTAATTTTTCAATTGGTTCAGGTCGATGAAATCGACGATGACCAATAGGCGGCTGTGCATATGGAATGCCCAAAAATTGATCAAACAATCGACCATGTTCATCATAAATACGTTGACCAATAATTTGACCACTTTCAATGGTCACTTGTATTGCTTCATTTGCCGATGATAATTTCAATAGAAAACATATTGAAAGAAGAAAAATGAAAATTTTTTTTAAAAAAATCGACGACATATTGTTGAATGTTGTCAAATTTGTAATTTCGAAAAATTGGATTCCATTAAATTATATAATGATGATCATACGAATCTACAGTCCAAATATTGATCATATCGAATCAAATCAAATCAAATCAGAGGAAAACAATTCAAATGACATGATAGAAAATAGTGAAAAAAACCAGTTTTATGATTATAAATAGTGATCATCCACTGAACAACAACAACAACAACAACAATTTTAATGTAAATCGTTCGATTGTATAACCTTGATTCGATTATCATATAATTGCCAATTGAACTTATTGATTATCTATCATTTTTTTTCGCTTAAATGTGCCTGCCATAAATATCTTATATATCTAATATATTGAAAGATTTTCACTATAAATAAATATTTTATCCAATTTTATTCAAATAATCTACTGGTGCAAGATTTTGTTGTTGTTGTTGTTGTTGTTCGGTTTTATTTGTCAACAATTATCATGATTTGATTTGCATGTTTGTATGTACATAATTGTCATAATTGTCTGTTTGTGATTAAAATATTTGACATTCAATGATATTTTATTGGAAACGTCATTTGCACAAAAAATAAATCTTAGATATTCAATTTTATTTTCAAAAACTTAAAACAAAACAATTTTCTCCAATATTTTTTTCAAAAAAAACATTAAATTTAATAATATCGTTTCCAGAATCTACATTGAACATCATGATAATTTAAATGATAATTACGATATGTTTGATAATCATTTGCCAATTCATATGATGGTGAAACTAATTGCTTATCATCATCATCATCATCATCAATCATTGTATATGGTTGCCATTCCGGTTGTTCTGGTCGACTGGTAGAAAAAAAAATAGTTTGATTAAATTCAATGTCAAAAATCCAATATGAAAAACAACGATTCAAATTAAACTTACCCATAACGTAAAAATGAATGTAATAATGATAATAATTCTTTTGATATATCAATTTCACGTTGTTTATGATAATCTGGATATTGTATAGGAAAACCAAACATTGGAAAAAGATCATCCATATGACATGTTCCAGCCCATTTAGGACAGAATGGTTTTGCATTTAATTTAAACGTACTATACAGTTGATATATTTGAATATTATCACTAGTATTGGAATGTAGTTTCAATTCTTGACCAAATTCAATGGTTGGACAAGCAAGCCAAACATCACCGAAAGCTTTTCCTGCAATTTTTCGAAACACATTTTCATCTTCATCATTACGTATACCATTAAAATATAATGTAGAAATATCTTTAGATTCTGGACGTTTGGATAAATATTGTCCGCTCATTTTTTCAATTACTTTGATTGCATCATCAATAGATAATGAATCAGCATTTTCATGGGCAAATTTTTCGCCAATTTTTTGTCCCATTAAATGACCAGCAAGAAAACTAAGCAAGCCAGACGTTTCCTCTTCAACAGTCGATATAATTACATTGAAATCTTTTTTAAAATTGCCTTTTTTTAGCATTTCGGTCGGATGTTCGGGAATCACTTCACCATCGACTACCAAATAAGCTGCATATAAAATAATCAATATTGATGGCTAAACAAAATAAAACAAAATAACACTTACATTCACAACCGTTCCCTGTATAATAAGGAATCATTTCCAATTTTTCGGGTGACATTTTCATTAGACATTCAATCATCTTGGAATCAATATTTTCATCCTGATCATTTGCACAATCTGTATGACGAATATTATCAAGCCAGAATTTTTTTGCTTTTTCTGCTGTCATTATTTGTCGTTGTACGCTTCCAGACATAACAACAGCATATTTAAATAGATTTCGAGATAAAGGCGATAGAATGTGTGCAGTGACCGACCATCCACCAGCACTATTACCTGCCAATGTTATCTGATCCGGATCACCACCAAATGAACGAATATTATCTTGTATCCATTGTAATGCCATTATTTGATCCCATAAAACCATATTACCTTTAACTTCTTCCATTTTATCCGCATACAAAAGACCAAATGTAGATAGACTAAATGAATGAATTTTATATTAAATAAATTTGTATGAATAATGATCATTTTTTTTACCGAAAATTAAGCGTAACAATCAAAGCATCGGTCATTGCAGCAAAAATTTTACCATCATAAATTGGTAGACTAGAACCACCATAAAGAAAACATCCACCATGAATATATACGAATACTGGTCGTAATTTTTGTTGATTATTGTTATTACAATTTATTCGATCACATTGATCATGTACAATATCAACCGGTGACCAAATATTTAGATAAAGACAATCTTCTTGAAATGTTTGATTTGAATAGGTAGAATATTCATTAAATTTTGGTACATTAATTTGACGGCAATTTGGTGGCCAATCAATTGCCATAAATGGTTGTTGTTCATAATTGTCAATGATTGGTTTAGGTCGATGAAATCGATTTTCATTGATCGGTGGTTGTGCATATGGAATACCCAAAAATTGATCAACTTGACTGTTCAATTGTTCAATTTTCAATCGTTTACCAAGAATTTTACCAAGACCAGTTGTAACCTGAACATAATTATCATCCAAATCTTCAGCAAAAGCTAATTTAGATGTCAATAGTAGAATATTGACCAGAAAAACAATGTTAAAAATGAACAATTTCAAATCATTCATTATGTGTGATTGATCAAGAAATATTTAAAAACAAAATGAAATGAAAACTTATTCGAAGTTAAGCTATTCGTTTTATACCAACTTCAATAATTTATCGATCGATTGATAGATTAACTACACAAAAAAAAACTGGAAAAAAGCATATATTTACATTGAATGATCATTGAACAATTTAGAAAACACACAACGAACGAAAGGAAAAAAATAAAGATATTTAGCAATTTAGTTTAAATATTATGAGAATCTATTTGAAATGTCAACAGAAAAAAAGTAATTAATCAGATAACATCATTATCAATACAAATTTTGAAATGAATTAATCATTTGAAAATCGATAATAATTTATTCAGTTTTTTTCCTCAGTTTATCGAATATAATTTTTCTTTTATCATTGAAGATTTTCTAAATTTAATCGATTCTATTGAATAGTTAATGATGTTTTTTTGGTAATTTTTTTTCTCTCCCCATCACATCATATTCATAATCTTGTTCCTCATGTAAGTGTACTTGAAAATTTTTACAATGTCATTTTATAATTTCAAAATTATTTAAAAAAGAAAAAAAAAATCATCTTATTAATTAAAACACAGATCAAAAGATGGCGTTAATTCTTGAATTTTCTTTTTTTTTTTGTTTTCAAAAAGTTCAAGAATAAGAATCGAAATCAGAAAAATGAATTTCCGTATTATTCAATCAAAGAGATACACAAGTGATTTGATACTGAATATTCCTGGATATTGTCCAAATCAACAACAACAAAAAAAAACTCGAGAATTTCCACCACTTACATCATTCATAAGTTATATTCCGCCAAAATAATAACAACAAAAAAAAATGTCACATGATGAAGTCAAAAAGTCATTGACATCACCGAAAGAAAATAGATTTCGTTAAAAATATAAAACACAATAATGACAAGAATGTCATACACACAAACTTTCGTTTTAATTTGTAATGAAACCAAATGTAGATCGGTTTAGGTAAAAACTTCCTATTAATTAATGATTTGCAATTAAAAATATCAGGAAAAAAATTCCAAAAAAAATTTAACAAGCAAATGAATCATTTATATGTTGTTGTTGCTGTTGAAAAGTTTTATAAATTTTTTTTTTATTGTCATTCATATTGTTTGATTTTAATTATAATTGTCATTGTATAGTTTGAAATTATTATTATTATTATGTCCGATTCAGGTGAGTTTCATCATTAGGTTGAAATTGTTGTCATTTATGCAAAAATTTTGTTTTGTTTTGTTTTGAAGCAAAAATTTCATCAAAAATTTTACCAATTCTGAGTTCATTGTGCTTATATTGCGTGATTTGTGTGTCTGTGTATGTTGCACAATGACATAATCATAGACAAATGCAATTTATACTCGAATTTCAAGATTCTCTAAAACATGTTACACACCAGCATATAGAATTAATGATTTTGAATGAATCATTTTTTTTGTGTTTGGTTGGTTGGTTTGGTCGTTTGGTTATTCAGATATTGTGACTAAACGGGGTAGATGTAATTGCTATATTGAATATCTGGTTATTCATTTAATTGGCCTTCATAATAATTTTATAGGAATACGGTCAATGAATTTGTTTTTCGGTCATTATCATCAAACATCGATTTGGATTTTTTTCGCTTCTTTTTTTTGGTTTTTTCTTTTATTTGACAATGATCGATCGATTTGATTGATCGATGATAATGATGATTCAATTTGAAATTACATTCACATATAGAGATAAAACTGGATAATTCTGGTTTCTTTTTTTAGATGAGTTTCTCATCTAAGAGATGATAAAGACAAATTGTCATCATTATCACTATAGTATCATAATTATTGTGGATGTTAATGTCCGAAGCAAAAAAAAAATCTTTGGATTTAATTGATGGTAATTTTTCTTTGGACAACAATCTTAACAATGATGAAATTAATTCTTTGAATTTAATTCATTTGAATTGAATTGAGAAACAATGAAAAAATAAAAAAATCTTTTCTGGGAAAATTTTCTCAAATTTTGTTAAACGAACCATAAACAACTATGCTATCCAGAAAAAAAACTAACTAAAAAACATAGAATTTAATGAACCGGAAAAATGTTTTTTTTTTGTTTTCTCGGACCCTAAAATTATGATAATAGTAATTATCATAAATCTACAGTTTTCTTTCGAACAATAGTGATGGAAGAAATTCATTTGAAATCAATTTGAACATCATTTCCAAACAAACAAAAAAAATTGACAATAAAATGAATTTCAGTAAAAAAAAACTTTTAAAAATAAAGATGAAACTTTGCATATATTGTTTTGAAAAAGGCAAGAGAAAATCATTCTTTTTGAAACAAGATTCATGGCGTCATTTCCTGATCATTATCATCATCCAAAAAAAAAAACATAATGTATACGAACAATCCACATATAACAGGATCTACATTTGTTTAGTATCGATATGATCTTCACACACACACATCCATCAAGATATTGAACAAGAGAGAATGAATGAAATATGAAACAAACGAATAAAAAAAATGTGTCTGTTTGATGCATCACGATTTTTTTCCTTTCTTGACAATCTTCATCATCATCATCGAATTTTTTTTTTGAAGAAAATTTCAAAAAAAAGTTTAAACACCTGTCTACGGGCATACACGAACAGCAATAACCACATATGCATGAACTTTGAATGAAATCTTCATTTTAGATTAATAAATACGATCTATCAAATGTTTTCTATGTAATATTTGACATTTTGTCTTTAATCAAGAAAACCTTTCATGATTAATTAACGTTTTTTTGGCATCTTTCAAAATTATGCTCCAATTTTTTTCAACCAAATGGCAACCAAACAGTCAGGTTATTAATGGAATGTTAACGACAACATTTTAATGATTGGTCAATGTTAAAAACAAATTTGAAATGAAGAAATAAATAAAAAACAAACAGAAAAATTCCAAAAATGTTCTTGACAACAGCATGATTATGAATGGAAACCATATTTAGAAGTTTGAAAACAAAAATCTATACCAATACCGATATTTCCATTATCGTTCAGTATCATTATTCGACAGCACGACAAACATTGAATTTTTTTTTTTGAAATTTTTCAAAATCAAAAAATATTCATAATACTTTCTCAACAGACGTAAGCATTGTCGTGATATATCCTTGCTGTTGTTGTTGTTTGAAAAAAAAAACGAAAATCCGATACGATCATCATCAATGATAATTATAATTTGAATTTGATAAAAATTCAAATTTTTAAAAATCCAATTTCAATATGTTTTTTTCTATTCGTTGTTTTCCTAAATTTGTCATCACATGATTTAAAAAACAACAACATAATTTTGCCTTGTTTGATTCATAGGAAAGAAAATGCATCGAAATAAAATATTGTTGATCAAATTCTAGATTATCAATATACTGGATGCTACCACTACTTTACCATCATCAATATGATTTTTTTTTTTTGGAAACGATGATGATGACAACAACAACAACCACAACGACGACGACGACGACAAAAAAATCATACGATAACCAGGATATCAAATATATTGAGAAAAAATATATTCATCACGATGTATTTAACGATGGTTTTTCAAAAAAAAAAAACACATGATCATTTATAATCATATGGGAAAAATCCTTATTATTATTATCGTTTGTTTTATTGATAAAAGGCGTCATTTGTTTGTTAAAATATTTTTTGTAAAGTGTAAATCTCAAAAGAAACGCACACGCAATTGTGCGTCTCTTATATAAATATATATAAAGTGTGATACGCACGAATAGTGTATACACAAACACATACATCACATGATAAAACCTCGAAATGTAATTGTGTTATTTTGCTATATATAATCATTTTACCATGAAATATACACAGTTGTAAAATTTACCATATGGGTTAATTCAAAAACAACAACAACCAACAATGATGATGATGATGATTGAACTAATCGAAAGTAGCAATTGCTTGTAAAGAAAAAAAACAAACTGAAGAAATGTAATGTTCAGTTTTTACTGATCACAAGACATTCAATATTGAAACAGAAACAAAACAGAAAAATTATAAATGATCCAAAGATCCTTTTTCTGTTCTGTTTTGTTCTGTTCCAAGTATTCTTTGAGTTCTACAAACATGGCATGAAATATGGCTATTATAAGGATCGTACATCCTTACAAATAAATCGGAATTTCAAAGTTCAAAGATCAGATTCGTGATTTTTTTTTCTTTGTTTGAAACGATTCTTTCACACGCAAGGTGTGTTTAAATTGGCCAGGTTTGTGTTTGTAGTTCACCAGGGTCAATATTAATATTTTTTTTGATGTTTGTTTTTGTATTGACTGCATTGTTTTTTTCAATAATAAATGGGCCATAAAGTCCAATCTAGTTTTTCTTCGTTTTTTTCAGACCATTTTAGGTGAAAAAGTTGTGTGTGGCCAAAGTTCATAAACTTGAATATTTTAAGAAGAAAAAAAAAATGAATTTGTTTTGAATGAATAGAATAAAATTGTATTCTTTCTTTCCTTTGTTAATGGTTTGGTCCTGTAAGCAACTCAGCTGTTTTTTTTTCGTTGCTTTGTTTTGATATGCACGAAAAAAACTAGTGGCACTATTCATAGTTATGTTGGGACATTTAAATTGGGATCCAATAATTCTTTGGAGATTTTTTTTTTTTGGTTACCACAGCTGTAACAGAAACAAATGTTTTGTTCTGCGTCTGTTCCATATGTATACATGGAATTAAGTAAAAAAAAAAGAGAGAATGAATGATGGAATGAAAGGGATTTTCAATGATTATTTGAACAACAACAATAACAAAAAAGCATTTTTTTTTGTTGGTGTTGTCAAGTTGCTACTACCACAATGCTGATATTACTACTACTTTTATTAAAATCCAAAAAAAAATAAGAATTAAAAGGACCAAAAACAACAACAAATTGAACATTCCCTACACCTGGAAACCAGAAAATAAAAATTGATACAGCAAAAAAAAAAATCATCATAAAAGTAGTGGATAATATCGAAAAAAGGTTCCAAAATATAATTCATACATAGACCCTTAACAACAATAACCGATGATGATTCTTGTTTGTTATAAATAGAAAATTTCCTTTTCATCCAATATCGGTTATTGGTTCCAAGAGTGAATCAAAAGAAAAAATGAAAACAAATTACCACTACCTAAATAGAACAGAAAAAAAACAATCCAAAATAATAATATTCGATACCTCTACCCATTTATTCAGTATATTCTATATATCCAAAAAAATATAAAGGTAATATTCATTCATCCTTGATTCGAATTTAAATGAACTTCAAATGATGATGATGATGATGATGATCATTTGAACATCTTCAAGAAAAGAAAAGAAAATGGAAAAGAAGAACAACCTCTATACTAAATCAACCGTATCTCTATTAAACAACAACAACAACAAGTTCCAAGGAGTTGAAAAATATTGAATTGAATAGAAAAAGAAAGAAAGAAAAATCCTATGATCAATAAGTAAAGAGAGAAACTTGAAATTTTTTCTTTGTTGTTGTTGTTGTTGTTGTTGAATGTTCAATTTCATCATTGAATTTTTGTTGTTGTCAGTAATATTCATCTGCTACTACGCAACTATCCAATTTTATTTTGTTGTTGATAAATTTGATGTTGAATATATAAATCTATATAATAATTTTTTTCAGATTTATAAATTCGTCTTCTGTTTTCATTCAACAAAAAACAACAACAAATTTCATGTCTCTCAATGTGTGTGTATGTGTGCGTTATATTTCAATACCAAACCAACACTATAGCCAAAAGTATATTGTGGATCCTGTTTTCATCTTTCTCTTTTAATTTTGCTATCAGTGTTTTGATATTTTCCATCTGACTATACCATTATATAGATAATATTTTTTTTGTTGTTGTGTATAGCTGAATATAGCAAAACAAAACAAAACAAAAACATAGGCTAAATTCGTTATCGTCTTCTTCTTCTTCGTCGTCTTCGTCGTCGTTGTTGTTGTTATTATTATTGTTGTTGTCATTTTGTTTTGATGATTGAAATGAACTTAACTTTTCTTGTGATGAAATGACTTAATGAATACTTTGAATCAAAGAAAACAACAAATGAAAACAAAGTGAAATAACAACAAAAATAAACATACAAATTTTAACGAATTTGGTTTTTTTACTGGTTTGTTTTGTTTCGGATGATGATAAGAATTAAACAACATTGAAATTATCATCAAATTGATGTTGTTGTTTTTTGAAAAAAATAACCATTAAATTTCGACAATAAACATCATCATCATTATCATTTGGAATTGTTGAATTTTTCTACGTCGTTTGTTCATTTGTACGTGTAATTCTTTCCGTAGTTTTTGTTTGTCTGTTTGGTTTGGTTTGATTTGACGGATGTCAAATGTTTGTCAATGTAATAATCGATCGATTCTATTGCATAAAAGAAAACCACATAAATTGATTCATTGGAAATTTATTGATTTGCAAATTAAAACATCAAGTAAATCACGTAAAGAATTGTTGATGAAACTAAAGTAGAAAAAGAACATCATCAACTTGTCAATTGAATTTGAAAATTTGAACTGTCAAATTACATAATTCATAATTTTTAACCCCTTCAAGGTATGTTTATTTATTTGATTTTTTTCAAAAAACCACTTTGTTTCGATTAAATCCACGATAACCTTTTGACCTTTTTTTCCTGTACAAATAAATTTCCTATGTCATCGATGATGATGATGATCAAATTTGAAACCGTGTTTGATTGTGGTGGAGAAAATTTTTTTTCGAAATTTCCAGATTAAAATTTTGATCATCTCTCTTCATGTCAATTTGATGATTTTGTCTGTTTCAATTTATTTTCTCTAATTAAATTTTAATAAGAAAAAATTTCTCTTCGAAAAATAATCTAATGAAACTTAATACGAAAATCCACAAAACAGATTCTTTCAGATTCTGATTGAATTTGATTTGTCTTCAGAATTTTTGATGTAATAATTTTCAGATTTCATTCTATTATACGTGTGTGCAATGTTTATCAACTATAGAAACAAAACAAAAAAAAAACAGAAACAAAAACTCAATTTTCGATGGACGTCATTTCTTTTTCAATTTTCATTTCTGTAACACTAACTAACAACAACATACAATGGATAGAACACATGGTGGTGATAGTGGTTGGCACGATTTGGTCGATCTCCCTGACAACAATGATTTCAGGTGAATCGAAAAAAAAATTCAGAATTAATAGGAAGAAAAGAATGAAATATTTTATTTCAAAGATTTCATTCATTCATTTTCTCATTTTGTCATATAATCTGGTTCTTTTATTATTAATCAAAAAAAAAGAGAAGAAAATGATGAAAATATTTTCGGTAAAAATATTTCCTGGGAAATTTATTTTCCGACATTTCATTTTTCATTTTGTGTGAAAGAATAAACGAAAGAAATGAACTAAAAAATTCCCTGTTATTATTCAGTTGAAATTTTTGAAATTAAAAATAGGAAATTCAATACTTTATTCTTGCCCCCCATCTATAACAAAAATACTTTCCATTTTCCTAGAAAATGCCCTTCACTAAACGAACGTCATCATCATCATCATCATTAACATTTTCGAAAACAATTAATCAACACCATATAATCAAATGATGATGATGATGATGATGATGTTTTTATCTGAGATAATTTTCGTTACCAATGACGATCTCAAAATTATCATTGAGAAAAAAATGACCATCTGGCCATCAAATAACTTTTCTCTTTCTCTCTCTCTAACTTTACGTAATGCATTTGTTACGTTTTATTTAAAAAAAAAAATTTTTATTATCAAAAACGGATGTACGTTTGAGCTTCAAATGATGAATGAAACAAACGATAACAAACTGTAATAATAAAACTAAATGTCATTTATTTCCCCTCGTTTTATTTCTTGATTTTGCATCTGCAAAAACCCTTAAAAGAAATCGAAAGCAGACAATTTATTGTCGTTACAAAGGTCTTTATTATATTTGAAAAAAAAACTGAAAATGGTAATGAGAAAAACAGCTTTTTTGAAACTTTCAATGATGTTCTACAGTTGACCATTCTTCAAAGATTTAGTTGAATGGTCAAATAAGAAAAAAAACATCGTAAATTAAAACTTGGGCCACACATACACACACAGAAACTACCCTTTCATACACCTGCCAACAACAGATAAAAAAAAAGATGCAAAAATATTTCCATGAGAAAGTTTGAGGAAAAGAAAATCTCTTTTTAATGACTTTTTTTCGGGTTTTGTTTTATGAATTTCTCTCTATAGAAATAAGATCTAGAATAATAATTTGAATATTTTCAAAACAGGAAAAAAAATATTCATTAGTAATGGATTTTTATCATAATAAAAATTGTTATTTTTCACATTACAATTGTCATTACACAGCATGGCACATACATGATACATGTTTTTAATTTTATTTTAAACAAAACAAAACCAAAAAAAAAAACCGATGATAATTTCAAAATCAAAATTTAACCACTATATGGATTATTTTTTTTATCATCATCATTATCATCATCATATGATAATGATGATGATCACATTGTTTTTGTTATTATTTTTTTTACCATTTATTACTATCATCAACATTTTTAAAAATGTTGTTCAACTCTTTTTTCTTGTTGTTGTTGATGTTATTTTTGGTTTTTCAAATGTTTTCCATACTTATAAACAGAAGAAGAAGAAGAAAAAAATGTACAGCGGAAATATTTTTCCAATCTGAATTCCAATTCAATATAATCAAAATATGATCGAAATATGTGAAATACGCATCCGATTTCTATTCGGTTGATGCCCACAAAAAACAAAACAAAAACATTAACACTTTCTTGCTGTGTGTGTATATTATTTATGTAGATTTTCTTTCGAAATGATTATTTCATCATTCTATTTTGATTATAAGATGTTTTCATTTGTTGTTGTTGTTGTTGTTATTGGTTTGTTTGTTTATCTATTTGATATGTGGTTATTATGGTAAAAGATTATCACCATAAAAATACTGATTATTATGATTTGTTAAATATTATCATCGAAAACATATCAAACTTTTTTTTTCCTTTTAGCAAAATCATAAATGTTTTTTTTTCTGTTGCTATTCCATTGGTTACTTGGTGCTATTTACAATGACAACAACAACAACAACAACAATTGGATGTGAAAACCCAAAACAGAATTCTCTCTTTCGCTCTCAAGTTGATTCAATTTTGTTAATCCAAATTGTTTTGTTTAGTTTTTTATTTGCTTATTTATTTATTTATTTATCAGTAACAAAATAAAAACAAAATTAATCTGGAAAATAAATTTTCCTGTTCCATTTTTCCAATAAATCATCCAAACAACAATCCAAATGTATGGATTTCTCAGAATATAAAAGATGAAAACATTTCTTTTTGATTCGATCAATCTAGTATTTTTGTGTTAATTATTCCATTTTGAATCTTTTAAAATACTTCTTTATTAATTTGATTCGTAATTTTAAATTTTGTTTGTTTTTTTTCCTCAATCAGTGATTGGACATTATCGTTATTTGTTGTTGGAAAAAAACAAAACTTTTTCATCGTTTGTCTCCGGATTTCTGTTTTCTATTGTGTACATGTATGTTTTTTTTGTGCAAATAAACTTTAATCAATAGATGTTTATGATGACAATGATGATGATGATTCTTCAATTTGATCCATCATTATTCAATATAAAATTGTGGCCATTATTTTATGATGATAAAATTTTATCATTAATAATGACAAATGAAAAAAGATAGTTAATGATTTGATTTGTTTGATTATCATTTAACAACGAGATAAATAAAGGAAATCCAAAGTTTTAAATCAATCAGAAAAAAAAGAAAGAAAAAAATCGATTATCAATGAATAATAATGAAAATTTAAATAATTCAATACAACGACATCGACAACAACAACAATCAATGACGGAAAATATTAATAATAATCAATATCAACAACAACAACAACAATTAATGAAAAAAATGAAAACATTTCAGGCATATTTGGAACCAAACTGCCATCGTACATATAGCTGTGTACATTGTCGTGCTCATCTTGCCAATCATGATGAACTTATATCAAAGGTAAATTTTCAATTTTGAATCGAAAATTCTTAATTCCTAATTATATCAATTTTTTTCAGTCATTTCAAGGTAGCCAAGGTCGAGCATATCTATTCAATTCAGTGTATGTATTTGTTTGTTTGTTTTTTTTTACTTTTAATTGAATTAAATTTTTCTTCCTTTTTTTAATAATAAAGTGTCAATGTACAATGTGGTATAGCTGAAGAACGTATATTACTTACCGGTTTACATGCCGTTGCTGATATCTATTGTGAATGTTGTAAAACAACACTTGGTTGGAAATATGTAAGTTTCTTTAAGAGGGGAATGAAATTTTCATTTCAAAATTGATAAACAAAAACCTATCTAGAATTTGTTCCAATTGAAAATTTTTCTGTATCAAATTTTAACATTATTAAAAATGATTGATTGATATGATGAGCCAAAAAAAGAAAAGAAATTTCATAGGACAAGCCTTGTTTTTTCTCGAAAAAAATAAGATTATTATTATCATCATCATCAAAGATGTGTGTCTTTTTTTCCAGTTAAATTCAATTTGTTTGTTTGTTTGTCTTCAGAATGAATGGAAATGTACAATTGATGAAAGAAAGAAAGAAACAGAAAACTAAAATGAAATTTCACATGACATCTGCTTAATAACAAAAAGATTATCAAATTTTTTTGTTGTTGTTGTTGGATATTTCATCATCATTATCCTATATAATCATGATTGTCATAGAAAAATAAACGTGCGCACATACACACACACCTTTACATTAGATTGATTGTGATGCTCTTTGATTCATCAAAAAATAATAATAATAATCATCATCATCATCATCAGAATTGTACAATGATTATTCCTTGATATTGATGGTGTTGATTTATTATAATACAAAAACGAAACGAACAAACAAAATTACATTATGATGTAATGTTGTTTTTCTCTTCCAATTTATGTGAGTGTGTCAAAGATAGGAGAAAAATCTTTTTTTTTTGTTGAGAATGATTTTATTGAATAAATAATTTTTTTTTTCATTTCCCCAATTTGTTTGTTGTTGAAATCAGATACAAATAATAATATAGAAACTAAACGAATTGAAGAATAGATGAATTTTTTGTTGATGTTTGTCCAAACAAACAGCGATATAAAAAAAACATCAACCATAATCAAGTTCGATGAACGACATTGAGAAACATTTAGAATCTTGACACATCTTGAGCGCATGTTTTTTTTTCTATTCTCATTTGGATTTTGGTACCCGATTTTTTTTCGGATTCTGGTTCATAGAAAACTTTTCGGTTCACATGATCAATACATTTGGTAAATTGAATTTTCTTTTTTCTTTTTTTTGTCTTGTTATCATACCATATTGCATCATGGTTAGCAACAAAGTTTCAGATTCAAATTGATTTCCCAATTGCTACACTGCAGTATCCATAAATTATTATCATCATTAATGGCCCCTGGATACAAAAATAGATTTTTCTACATATATTTTTTTCAATTAGTATTTATGTTATATATTTTTTTTTTTTGGATAAGATTTTCCTTGGAAGACTTTGTATATCTTTTTTTTCTCACTTTAATATATCTTACATAATCAATTAATTCTTGGTGAAAATTGGAATTAATTTTATTCAAAGAATATTTCCAAAAAAATAAACATCGCATTAAACCATTGATCAACCACCTAGATTACAGGAGAAAATCCTACAAAAATTTACATTCATTCTTTTATTTTCTGTTTTTTAACCCTATTTCAATGAGTTGATCATATGATTTTTATTTGTTGATAATAATTTTGTTTGATTCAAATCAACATCATATCAATCACAAATCGATTGATGAATTGAATTTGGGTTATTTATTTATTTTTTCCTGGGCAAACAGCAAATAATATGATTTTTTTCAAGTATTTGTATGAGAACCAGAAAAAACACATTTTTGATCAATCAATGATCGAGTTATATTGGGAACACAAACAAATCAATCCATAGTCCAAATGAATTGAATTGAATTGAATGAGAATAAATAAAAGTCAAGTGTTAAGCAAAGAGAAAATTAACTTTTAGCAAGAAAAACTAGGTCAATTTGATTTTGTTTTCCTCAGAAAATTTGTTAGATTTACCAGATTTTTTGTTTTTTTTTCAATAACGATTTTTTTCTCAATGTTTATACAATCATGGATCCCTCCAATGAATATTCTTTTCATAATGAATCGAAAATAAAAATAAAATTGATTTGCTTTTAGTTTTTTGTTTGCTTTTTGATCAGGTGATAATGATTTATAGCTAAATTTTTGTTATTTATTAATCAAATGTATGTTTCTGATGAATTATTTATTCATTTTGTTTGTTTATTTGCTTGTTTATAACGATCATTTATATGTTGATCATATGATTATCATTATCGTTAATAATGTTGATCATAGCAAACAAAACAAAAATCATAATCAATTAGTTGTTGGATTGTGGTTATTGTTGTCGTTGTTTAATGTTACTGTTATGGCGCCTTTTTTTCTATAGATTAAGCGCGATTTATAGTGATTTATTTTGTCAAATCGGTATAGAATTATGTCGTAATGTTGTTGTTATGATTTTCAACAAAAAAAAACATTTCAAGAACAAATCAGAAATATCGATATGATGAAATGTTTTGAGAGAAAAAATAAAAGGAAATCAGTTTTTCAAATTCATTAACAAAACTGATTGCTTTGTGTGTATTTTTGACTACTGTATGTGAAAATACAGAGATTCATTTGCAGATTTTTTTTTTCTCGTTACACTATACTAAACATTTTAATTACTATTTCGGTGAATAACCGAGAAAAAGAAAAAGAATCTTTATTCATTTGTTTTCAAATGTTCATTGAACTATGTATACATAGGTTGCTAACATTTGTTTCTTTTCTATTCTGTGATATCAGAAAATCATAAAAATCTGAAAATAAAATCCATGTCTTTTATGACTAGCAACTGAAAACAAATCATTTTCTTTCATTTTCATTTTATTTTTATTTTTTTTGAAATGGCTATTCACCTTGTAGTGGTTGTTGTTGTTGTGTCACCAATAGCCACAAAAATTTTGATGATCATGGTTGCTTCAAGAATATTAACACACACAAGCAAACACTTATAAGAGAATAAAACAGGGTGAATGATCCTCGATCATGTCATATCATCATTATATAATCATCATTATCTTTTCCCACCCCCACACATGTTAACACCAGCATTTCTTTCTCTTGTCATTCTTTTTTTCCCAAGACCAGTTTCGATATCTGTTTTTTCTGAACTTGAATTTTTTTTGTTTGAGTATTATGAAATCAATCATTTTTCATTTGGCAATAATAAGTGTTGTAGGTAGGTGTGTCCGTCATATTAGAATTTATTTGTTTGAAATTTTTGTTTTTCAAACAATTCAAAAGTTCGCAACATCCTAAGTATCTATTTTTAATATATTCATTTAATGCGCATAAACATTTCTGAAAAAAAATATTAAGGGGTTATATAATACAAAAAATTTGATGATAATAGTGGTAGTGGTTAACTTATCATCATCATCATAAAGAATTATATATAGAAAGTTTCACACACACACCGACACTTAGCATCATCAGTACGACGACCTCATTCATACTTATGATGATGATGATGATGATTGATAAATTCTGGAATTTTCGTTTTTCTTTCCAACAGTTTAAACTTATGATGGTTGGTTGGTTTTTTTCTGTTGTTGTTATTGATAATGGTTATGGTTTTTTTTCTGGTTGGGCGCCATTGAACTAAACTAACCCGTCAACAAAACAATGACAAGATTTTTCTTTTTTTTTTGCTTTCTCGTTTCGGTTGGTTGTTAATGACCGATAAGATTCAATTCAATTCACCTGTAGTGTAGGTTTAGTTGATTTTTTTTCCTGGTAAAATTGTTTTTTTTTGCAAATGATTAATTATATGGGTCATTTCAAACAAACAAAAAAAGTTGTGTGTTGTAAGATTGATTAATTGATTGATTGGTCATTGTTAATTGAATTCAATTTATACATATTGATAGATTACAATGGTGAATTGATTGAAAAAACAATTAATTTTCTATGTTTTTATTGTTATACGAATTTAATGTAACGAATTGACGAAAAAAAAACGGATTTTCATTTCTATTGACTCCTGCTGCTCCTGTTATTGCTTCGAATTCCTATTGTCATCAGCAGCAATGATAAATGTTAATCATTAAATTTATATAAAAATCCAGGAAGTTTTTTTTTCTAAACCCAGATACGTATTTTTGTTATCAATTCAACGAAAAAAAAAATCATCCAGAAATCCAAATATAATTCTAGATTGGTAGTTTTATTTTTTGTTCGGTCATCCATTATCTCAATCAATGGACAAAAAAAAAGCTAAATAATCAATAAAAAGAAAACAATGAAAAAAGATTTCAATTTTTTTTCATTTCCACTAAGAACGTTCTTTTGTGTTTGTCAAACATATTTATATCATTTTACAGTAAAAAAAAAGATTTCAGATTGTTTAAGACGTTTTTTTTTATCATCAGCATCATTTTTCTTATGAAATTCGACTATTTTAACTTTGTATCATTGTTTCCTTTGGTGTGTAGGATGATGACATATAATAATGATCATTTTTTCTTTTCCCTATTTTTTTTATTTATTATTCGTGTAGGTTATTTCTCTTCCTGAATTGTTTCGGTTTTTTTTTCTTCTTTGCTTTTTCATGTGTTTGTTGAATGATAATAATGATGAATAATGATAAAATCGAACAACAATCATAAATTTTGTTTTGTTTATGGTTTATAGATAAATCAAACTGTTTTTCGATAGATTTTTTTTCCCAAATGAAAAATGAAAATAAAATTGGGTTTACAATCAAACAAAAAAAAATCAATCGATTATATAAATTAAATACCGTGGTAAAATGAATGAAAAGCTAATTTTTTTTTTACTTCGTAAGTCTAAATCGATTGTGAAACAAAATTATTAATTTATCATCATTATCGTTTATGATGATGATGATGATGATGATAGAAATGAAGAGTTATTTTGAATCATAATGATCCACATTGATAATGATGATGATAACCTCATTAATTTGATTTTTCTCTCCCACATTTGGTTTTTCGGTCATTTCGTGGGCGAAAGCAATTGTGTGTGTATTATTCATTTGTAATAATTATTTATTTTCATTCAAATCCATTTATTTATTATTTTTTTGTTGCTAAAAGTTTTCATTTTCTAATCGTTTGTATTTTTTTTCTATTCATCATCATAATCTAGGAACATGCATTTGAATCAAGTCAAAAATATAAAGAAGGCAAATATATAATCGAATTGGCACATATGATTAAAGAAAATGGTTGGGAAGAAGAAAATTCTGGTCATAATATAATGATGAATGATTATAATAATCATCATAATCAAAATTATCAACAAAAATCATATTTTAATAATAATAATAATAATCATCATCAATATTATCATCAAAATAATCAGGAGCAAAAAAACGGTCATCTTAATGGTGATGGATCATCATCATCGTCATCAACATCATCAACAACATCATCATCATCATCGAATGGGTGTGGTAGTAATGTTGATGATAATGTTGGCGTTGGTGTTGGAAGTAGCCTATCAGCAGCCATTGCAGCAGCAATACCAGGCAGTAGTAATAGTCCATCACATGGTATTCTTGCTGCAAGTAATAATCTGGAAAAAAGACGATGACATTCAATTAATGATAATGATGATGATGATGATTTGAATTATTCGGAATGATGATCACAATTTTGGAAATTGATTGAAAACAAAACTATGCAATGATAATCAATATTGACCATGTTTTTTATGCCATGTTAATTATCATCATCCTTTTTTTTTGGTTGTTTCTCTTTCTCTTTCTCTCTCATTTTTCTGGTTTCATCTCACTTTATATATCTAACCATACACCGGAAACACACCTACATTTTGCCTAATGTCTTTCGTGTTATCACCCATTATTATTATCATCATCATCATCATTCAATACAAATGTCCTTTGTATGTAGAAGGAATACATTCGCTTTTTTTGATTATCATTAATTCGAAATTCAACTTAACCTTTATGACAATGGAAAAATGAAAATTTAAATATGAAAGCAAAGAAATAACATATAAAAAAAATGAAATTTCTTTCAACAATTCGAACAAAGTTGATGAACTTGTCGATTTTTTTGTTTGTTGAAACGTAACTTGATCGTATTTATATCAATGAATGATTATTGTAAAACGATCACCAAGATATTTTCCATTGAATAATGATCTAATGATGATGATAATTTTTTCCCCATAATGATCACATGTAAAAAAAAGTAAAGAAAACAAAAATCACATATACACACAACCATTTTGGACAAACATTAAATCATTGGAATTGATTTTGTAAATTTTTTTCCAAAAATTTCATCACATACACATACAAACACACGTCTACAGCCTATATTGAATGGTTTTGGATGAATCCAAATACTGGTCAAAAATCCCTGGTCAAATTATTTACACAGAAAAAAATTTCATAATAAATAAAAATCATGAATAAATGAATGATTCAAGGTAAATAAAAATTTGATTAAATTTTTTCAATTTAAATTCTTATTTATGTTTATAGGATTCAATTTCTGTTGTATTGTGCCACCCTTAATAATTCATTCGTTTTTTTTCGTTGTTGTTGTTGTTGTTGTTAATCATAATATTTGGTTGTAACCTAATTTTTGGAATGAAGAGAAATTTCCGATCAATATATCTATATTCCGAAACATTCAAACACACGCATTCTAATATTTGCCCTTGCAACATTTTGATTGTGTTTCTACGTAAGTATTTTTTTTCGCATTTTTTTCCTGAATTAATTTTCATTTTTTCTGTTTCTTTCAAATAGATAAACAATACAAAACAAAAAACTAATTATCGATCTCATTGATTTTTTCTGGCCATTATTGATGATATAATCGATTTATAAAATGGATCTGAATTTCATATTATCCTTTTATTTTTTTGGGCTAAAGTAGTGATCCCCGTTTGATAATATAAAAATAAATTCAATCATAAATCAGAAGGGATAAATTATTGTAAATATCTTTCATCTAATACATATTTCTTCATTTATTATAATGGTTCAACCAGGAAAAAAAACAAGAAAAATTCTGCTGTAGAAAAAAAATAGCTTGATAAATTCAAGACCAGAACATACGTTTTACATTCTGAAATTATTATTATCATCATCATCATGTAATCATTATGTCAACAAAATAAATCTGTACACAAAGAATCTCATCGATAAACATACATACATTTTTGTTTTTTGTTCTTTCTTTTTTTTTTAATTATAATAATTATTTACATTGTTTTTGTTTTTGATTATCACAATGAAAACACATTGAAAACAATTCATTCAACAATCCATACAATATAATTCTGATCATTGAAATTGCAATGATAAAAATTATAAAATTATTGTGATAATACGACATGCACACACACAAACCCATTTTCATATGCAAAAAAAAAAAAACCATTACATAAAAATCAAATGATAATGACCATCAATAAAAAAAAATTTTTTGATTGATTGATCCAATCTTATTGCAAATGATGATGAAACATAATTTACCATTCATATAACACTTACACAAACGGATTGACATAAAGAATTGAAAATAAAATTTCGAATTATCAATCATCATAATGATGACGAATAGTGAAAGAATTATTGTCTTTGTCGAATGATTTTCAAACATCATTGTAATATTTTACTTATTAGGGATTTTTTTGCATTGAAATTATCATTTGCTCCATCTGTGGACGGCCAAAAAAATAAACCAAAATTCTATCAAATTGCAATGAGAGACAAATTAAAATTGTAATAATGATAATATGTCTGAATGGGAAAAAACCTTATGTAACATTTATTTGTTGTTGTTGGTTGTTATGGTGATTTCATATGGATTTCCAATATTTTTCCATTATCACTATTCGGGATTTTATTTCATTTCATTTTGCCTTTATTATTTATTTATTCGGAATTTTCCCTTGAAATCGAAAATAGTCGGTAATTTTATTGTTTTCTTTCTTAAAGAGAAAAAATTTATTAATTGGTTATTATAATTAGTGAAGATTTCATTCGTTTTGTCAATTGTTTGCTTCTTTTGTTTTTATTTTTTATTTTTTGTCAGCTATATAAATAAATGTCGATCGTTTTGGTTGTCAAAATCATTCACATTGAATCGATAATTTAAACTTCAAAAACAAAAACAAAAAACCAAAAAAATGATGAAACAATCGTTAATCATGATCGCTACATTGGTTTTGGTATTGGCTACCATAAGCTATGCTGTTCCTTATTCTGGTCTTGGTGAACATCGTGTCATACCAATGATGGTATAAATCAAGATTATTATGATTGCGAAAAATCTGATATAATTGGACCGTACGGTAAATTGGGTATGATTGGATCGAATGATAATTATGGAAAATATGGTGTACTTATTGATTAATTATTCTTAAAATCATTCAAATCCATGGCTGATATTTCGACAATTTTTATTTGAATTTAATTTTTTTTTTCGATTGAAATTTGGCTTAAAAACTTTACCCTGATGACTTATTTCATAGAAAAAAATTAATTGTTTTGTTCTTAAATAAAAAAAATTGATCCAAATTTTTATATTTTTAAAATTGAATTGTCTAATTTTATGTACATTTGAATGATTGGTTTTTCTCTGATAAAAAAAACCCGGTAAAAATCGAACAAAATAAGCTTTTACAAAAGAAAAAAATAATAAGCTTTTGGTTTTTTGTTTCAAAACTCGAATATAATTTTGACCAACTTATGAATTTTGATTCTACATACCAGCACATTGTTATTTAAATGCTACAAGATTTACAAAATATATGAAATTTCAAGATTCATGTCTTTGTTGGCCAAACAATATCAACATCCAAATCGTAAAATTGTTCTGGCTAATCGATTAAAGATTAATCATTATGGACAAAGTTTTCATTCAAAAAATAAATTTGGTTTTAAATATGGAAAACTTGAACTAATCACAATGAATGAGTTTCTCAAGGTAAAACCATTAAATTTTAATTCAATTTATTAGGTTATTTAAATTCAAATTATCTATTTCAAATTTTATTCCATAGTATTCTCTACTCTATTCACAGTTATTAATGTTCATATATGTCAATGTTGTTTATCAAAGATTTTTATCAAATCAAAGTTAAAGTCAACTTGATCAATTTTTATTATTGATTTATTTTAAGAAATAAATTTTTTCGTTGTTATTTGTCAAATTTTCATTGCTAAATATTATTATAGTTTCAAATTATCGATTTGAAACAAATTATTATTTCAGTAGTTTGAATATCAAATTTAAAGATAATGTATGTTGTTGATTAATTCATTAAGAAAAACGAGAACCAGACAATTTATGAAATGAAAATGGAAAAAAAATTGATTCAAAATTCTTATAAAAAACAAATTTGGGAAATTTCCGGAAATTTTGAAAACCGAAAATACGGTTTGACAAAAACAAAAATAATGATTCAAAAACTTGAGCATTAATTTGAAATTATTTTTGCCAACTTGAAAAAATGAAAAAATTATGGATTTTGATTGTAATGACTTTCGAATACCTTTGTATTTGTCAGTTAAAATTTTTAAGATTCACAAATTTTAAAATTTATTCGATCATTTTTCGTTTTGAGTTTGTTGAATGCGTTGATCTTGAGGAAAGAATTGAAAATACAAAAAAAAAATCGAAAATGTTTGAAAAATTAATCAAAAAAATTATCAGTTATTGGCAACAATCATCTAGAATGAAGAATAATTTCTCTGTGAACATGAAAGGCATTTTTGAAATTTTATTACCATTAATTAAATTCAAACCATCAAAATATCTGCAATCTTATTTTAGTTATCATCGATTAGCATACGAAAATCAACAACAATTTGAAGAAAAAATACATGGCCAAATTCGATTTTTTAGCTGTTTGTTGATTATATTAACAATACGTAATACGGGTATAGCTATACGTTCTTATTTTGTGCCGGATCAATTGTCGAATGATATCGATTATCATTCATTAAATGCAAATGGATTCGATAATTATGCAATTCTATTCATATCTGCATTAATGATACAATCCATTATTTATTTGAATATGTTATACCAGAGAAACCCTACATTTGTATTATTGAATCGTGTATTAATTCGCAAAGAGGATGAATCGTTCTATTCTCCGTATCGATATCGTCATTATTTTGCTGTCGAATTCATTGGCTCCATCATGAAAACTTGGTTAAAATCGATGTATCTTTTTAAAATATTTGTAGGTGAGTTTCCATAAGATTTTTAAATCAAACAATGATAAAACTTTTACATTCAATGGTATTAGATTTATTTGTTATTGCTTTCGGTACAACTTCTTTTGACTATATTTGGAAGAATCGAAATGAATATTTCTGCGATGGAATTTGGGGTTACATCAAATTTATTGAAATTTTGAGCAATCGTTTTATGCTTTTCTCTGGCATCTATGCTTATGGCCATGTTAATATATTGATGGCCACTATTACAATTGCTTATCTCATCGTTGTTTATATATTTTTTTGGCAAACAAATCAACTTCTTTGCCATGATAATTACAATCAGAATAAAAAACAAAAAGTTACATGGCAATTATTGAAACGTTTTCACATACGTCATACAAAAAATCTTCAACAAATTGAAATGGGTAGCGTTTATTCGAAAGCGTTAATCATATTTTTATTGTTGAATATTCCATTCAATTGTTATCTATTAATATTTGTTGTGTGCAAAACTATCACGTGGAAAGTTCAATATCTTGCTGGTTCAATAATAGCCGAACAGTTTATCTGTATATTCGGCATACATCTATTTTTCGCCACAGCTAATCGACAATTTCAAAAACCAAGTTTCAGATTTATGTCCATATTGGCCGAACAGCATCAACATTTCAATCGTCACATTGATCTGGCAAATCGATTGAAGATTATTCACTATGGACAAAATTTTCATTCAAAAAATAAATATGGTTTCACATATGGAAAACTTGAACTTATTTCGATGAATGAATTTGTCAAGGTAAGACCATTTCGTTTTTGATTGAATTAACCTTATCCATAATAAAAAAAATAATATATTCCTATTTATGTTCCCTTTAGTATTCGCTGCTATATTCTCAGTTATTCATGTTCCTCTATATTCACATTGTTTTGCGAAGATCATAAAGTCAACTTGATGAACTCTTATGAATTTACTCGTTACAATAAAAATATTTGAAACAACATAAATCGATATTCCGCTCTTTTAATTTTGTCCATGAAAAGATTAACATATTTTTATTATTCAACAGAATTTTATCCTAATTTCCCACTTCCATTAACGATTCATTCGAGCATTAAATAAAAATTAACGACCAAAATTCAAAAAAAAGTAGATTTTATTTGTTTGCACCTTCAATTAAGGAGAAAAAAAATTGATTGTGATAACAATAGTGACAATAATAACAATATCAAATTATAAAATTTGAGAATATAATATATTTTGTCAAAAAAAAAAATAATAATAATAAATAATAATAATAATTTATTATTCAATCTGAATTGTTGCTGCAAACCAAATTCAGATATAATTTTACATTATCATTTCGCCGATCATTTTAATAACAACTAAGATAATTTAATCAACGATGAAAAAATTATTCATATTTTTATCTATTTTATATGATTATCTATATTCAATTGTATCTAATCTTTTCGATGGTTCCATTTTGAGTAATATTACTAATGCTTTAAGTATGATTCGGCCGTTGTTTATGAATCGTCC